CTTTTCAATTTCAATTAAAAAAATTTCTATCAGGATTAATGCAAAAAATATGCAGCTGGTATCGAAACTATAAATTAAGTTCTTACTTATTTGATTTATTCATAATTATTTTACCACACATGTAATTATAATCACAAATACCAAATACTTTTTTTTCAATGTACATTAAAAATTACGCGCAAAGGATTTAAAGGATTAGAAGAAATAAATAATAGTTTAAAAAAACCCCGAAAGACAACACACCATAATCTGCCAACGAATTGCCCGTGAATCTCGAGGCTATCGGATAATTCTACGCAGACGAGTCGGTCTGCCTAAACGTCAAGATTTATGCGTCTAATATGACCGGTATTAATTCATAAATCTAGACGGTATTACCATCCGCGAAACTCGTGATTCATAATCATCTCAGGATTTATATGCGCGTTTTGAATGCTTAGACACTTTGTGCGTGCGTAACTGTCTTTGAAAACATAATATCATCTGAGGCAAATTACAGAATTCTAATCCTGAGCGTAGCTCAACAACTTTTTTTTGACATTATAAAAGAGTGATGATAGATTCACAGCAATTTACTTCTTGAATTACGAATAATGAAATAAATTGTCAAAAGCAAATTAAAAAGTGTTACCTTTTTATTGTTACTAAAAAAAAAATCTAATTGTGAAATTTCCGGTAACCTCATATTCTAAGTAGAAAACTTTTACAGAAAGAGTATTCCTCTTCCAATGCACTGGACTATTTATCAAAAATGTATTCGAAATTATTCTAACAGTTTCCCTCTTGCATTGAGAGAAATATGTTTACATCGAAAAAAAAATATATAATTGTGAAGTGAAATTTCCAGTAACCTCATAGTCTAAGCAAAAACTTTTACAGAAAGAGTATTCCTCTTTCAATGCACTGGATTATTCATCAAAAATGTATTCCAGATTATTCTAACAGTTTTCCTTTTGTATTAAGAGGAATATGTTTACTTAAAATGGAATGCCCTCTTACGAGTAACATGAAAAGCAATGTGTATCGCTGCCTTTTGGTCGTTGGTGCGTATTTAATATACACCGTGTTACATCATATTGCATTGTGTTACAGTATTTATAGTTTGAGTTGTTTCATAATGAGTGAAGTTCAAAAATTCTTACAAACGATCAACTTAGAGAAGTACTGGTCCACATTTGAGCGTAAATACTATTTATCACGCATTGCATTGCTTGTTATCGATATGATGCAGGTATATGCCATTTAAGTCACACCTATAGCAAATTAAAAAAAAACAAAATATAATGTATTGTAGAGAACAAATATCCGTTTGACAGAGGATTTGCGAGTTATCGCCATGTCGTGATCCATTGCTAATGCAAACGTTTTGTGAACCTTACCTAATAAAATCTCTATTCATAATCTTATATAAATATTTGAAAAAAATAAATATTCAAATTATTTGAAATAATTATTCCATTATATCTTATCACGGAATTCGAATAGTTTCAAAATAGTGAAGTTTTTCGAAAGATCGGAAACACAGTACACAACGAAGTAATTCTGATCGACGGGAACGAGACTACAAAGTCTTCCACCACATTTGAAAAAAACCTTTATTTTGTTTTATATTTTTTTTTGTTACTAAATATTATTAAAAGACTCATACATATCGAAAATATGAATCGAAATTGCGTGATATATACACGTATAATCTCATAATACATCTACAGGATAATTAAAACCAAACTAAAAATTAATAACAAAATTGTTGGAAAAAAGAACAATCAACAAAAGTACAAGAAACTTTTAATAAATATATATTTATAAGAATTTAGAATACAGTATCTTAAAACACGTATATATAGTAGATTATTAGTACGTAAGTATTAAAAATATATTGTACATTCGATCAATCAGATTTTCTAACATCACAAATAATTTAATTTTGATAAGAAGAAAGGACATTTAAGAATCAGTTAAACTTTATTTAAAATTATAAACGTCAAGACATAAAATATTAATAAAAATAAATTACAAAAACAAAGAATAAATAGGCTAATGAGAGTAAACTCGCTGTTATCAATGCGAAATCACAAAAAACAATATGTATTCATTAAAAATCAAAAAATGTCATATATAAAATACTAGTTTTTAGTATTTTATATATGACATTTTTTGATTTTTAATGAATACATATTGTTTTTTGTGATTTCGCATTGATAACAGCGAGTTTACTCTCATTAGCCTATTTATTCTTTGTATTTGAAATTTTCGAGAGTCGATTTTTATATTTAATTTTTTAAATTACAAAAAGATAACAAAAAAATTAATAAATATAAATCACGAAATAAAATATTACATGTTTCGGCCACTTGATCCGACCATCCTCAGATAGAAAAGATGATAATTAGTATAGTAAGCAATAGAACGAAAATCATGCTCAGTCAACCGAAGATCGCTTCATTATGCATGACACAAGAGTCCCTTGCTGGATTATCTTACTGTTAACATCAATTTAAAAATTTCTCAATCTCTAGTTAATTTTTGTACACACATTATAATAATGTTTAATCTTTTCATATGTAATTTTTGTACGACACATCTTATACTTCAAAGTGATTGTTATATTTGCGATGGTTTGTCACATTGACGAGGATGACTTCTTTTTTGAGTGATATGATTACTAAGACTTTACTAACAAACGGTCTGTTAATCGTTTGCAAGGGACTCTTATATCATGCATAATGTGAGGCGATCTCGATTGACTGGTGAGTATGATTCTATTGTATACTATCTACTAATTATTATCTTTTCTATCTGAGGATGGCCGAATCAAGTAATCGAAACATGTAATATTTTATTTTTCACAATTTATATTTATTAATTTTTTTGTTATCTTTTTGTAATTTATTTTTATTATTACATTTTATGTCTTGACGTTTATAATTTTAAATAAGGTTTAACTGACTCTTGTCCTTTCTTTTTATCACTATTTTTGAAAGAGAAGAGTCCTTTATTATTTATCATTTTCAATTTAATTTTATTGAAATTAATCACTTCTGTTTATAATTTTCTTCGTTATCTAAAACAATGCAAGTAATAATAAGTCATAATAAACAGGTTAATTAAGCGAAACAATCAGCTTTGATTGCACTTTGTTTAGAATATATAGAAATGCGTATCGGAGCGATATGATCACGCTGAATTATCTGAATTACCAGCGCAAGACTTTATCGCGCGTTGGCACGAGCACGCCAAACACAGTAGATCGATATCGCGCAACTTGTACAATTTAATATGCAAACGAATGATGCGCGTTTGATCGCGCCGCGCGGCGCCGGGTGATCGCAACTCCACAAAATTCTTATTCGGCGAGCAACCGATTTTTGCATTTTTCGCCTCGTATAAGAATCTACAGTGACGATCTCCATCCGATCTCCGGGGGGAGAAGAAGGAGGAGGAGGAGGAGAGCGTTGCTAGAGGAAGAGGAGGTGGTGATGGCGATGGAGGAGGAGGCACACGGGTTCGCTTTTGCTTGAGCGTACCCGTTCGTTCACCCTAGCGGGGGCACCAACCTGGCTTTACTTCAGTTACACGCCGGGAGAGCTGGCACGTTGTGTATAAGTATATATACATGCATATATATTTATAAAAATGTGTGCAAACATATACATGAAACTAGATGTATATAAAAGCATATACGTAAGACATGTGCACAAATACGTCCGGATGTTTGCACCAGAAAAAATTGAAATCCTAAAAATACGGAAAAGATCGTGAAAGATTAAATGACAAAAGCGTCCAAGTGATCTCTTATTCCAAATAGTAATTTTTTATTATACCGTAAGCATTTAAAGTTTGACCAAACAGTTGTACTTGGACAATCCGTTGTCCGCTTTTCGGAGTCGCTGATACCATGACTGTACTTTTTTTCTAGCGTGAACGAGAAGATAATTAACATTATTGTACGACTGTTTAACCATTGCTTACGATTAGGCGTAACTAAAACATGTATATGGAAAAGAAAACTACTGCCGCAATTGAAAAGTTACGATCGTGCGTTAATCGATTTTTTTTCACTCTCTCGCTGTAGCGCCTTTAAGCGCATATTTCGGGACACCTTGTATAAAGGCATATAATACATTCTCGCGTGTACTTACACCTAGTATAGATGGGTACACGGAGAGCGTACCGAGAGTGTCCCGGTTGAGCACGACGCGATTCCACGGCCCTTCGCGAAAGAGTGAGAAAGAGAGCGAGCGAAGCAGTACCAACTTCACCGGCCCGTTCCATGGAGAGACGAAGAGAGAGAGAGAGAGAGAGAGAGAGAGAGAGAGAGAGAGAGAGAGAGAGAGAGAGAGAGAAGGGACCGTAAAGTAAAGGCAAGGAAAAAGGACGGACGCTTTTGTTCGACCGCTCCGGACGAAGCGCGAGTAGCTCTTCTCTTCGAAAGAGGCTCTTGACGCTAGGAATGAAGACATTACTGTCCGCGAGTAATACTCCGTCAACTGTTTCCAACCTGAAAGAGCGGAGGCTTCGGTCCGCGAAGAGGCGCCTGTGACGCCTCGCGCCGTCAAATTCGCTGATCGTGCAATTTCCATCGTCACGATGGAATTTGCACCGCTTAGAGACGACATCGGCTTACGGCCGTCGCCAGTCGGGTTCTTGACCTAAGCTCAAGCGCGAGCGAGAGAGCGGCAAAATTTCAATTTCGGAATGCTGACCGCTCGCCGAACGACAAAATCGATGGGTCTTATCGCGATAAAAATATTAAGTATGAAAAAATTTTGTCATCATCAAATCATCAAAAAAAAAAGAAAGAAAATGACAGTTATAGGAATAAAAAACAGATAGACCTTTATTCTCGTTCACGCATCATTGATATAATCGAGATATACATATAGAATTATAAATAATTCACATTAAAATTATATATTATATTCACAAAACTTAATTAACTTAATTTATTTTAATAAAATTGTATTACTTCACTAGAAATAATTATTACGAGACTCGCGATCATAGATATGTACATTCAAATTGATATAAAAAGATTAAGAATAACGAGTTAAATTCGATGCATTGACCATTCGAATGGATACAGGAGCGGTCACCGTGTCCGTCGGACTAGATCTCTGCGGATGATGGGAATAACTGACTTCCATGTCGATCTCGTCGAGCTCCTCCTCCTCTTCCTCGTGAGTGTCCGATTCATCTTCCTCTTCGCCCTCACCCTCCTCCTCTTCCTCTTCCTCTTCCTCCCCCTCCGATCCTCTGAACTAGATTTTTCATGCGCACAGGAAAATAATATTAGGTATATAATATTAGACTACATTAAGCATCAATCATATCATCATCCGTTCGAGTTCCGATTTAAACATTTTCGAACATATCAAATCCATCCAAATATTCATAAATCACGTGAGTAAGCTGCAGTCACGTTAGCAATTGTCAATTGTCTTGCGATTGTAATTAGCGATTAGTTTTCAATCAACCAGAGCAAAGTAATCATCGATTGTTTTGCTCTAATTGATTGAAAAATAATCGCCAATCACAGTCGCAATCGCAATCGCTGGTGTGATCACAGCGTTATGGCTGTGCCTAACAGTTTAATATTTCAAGTGTTCAATACAAAATTGAAAAAATAAATAATAAATTATATAAATATTAATTAATAAAAAATATATAATGTGTTATATACAACAATATAGGAGGAAGTTCGAATAGTCACGGACATTCGAATTTCTCAGCAATCGATCCAAAAACGAAAGTAAAGCGTCATATCAAAACGTGTCCTCTCGTTTTGTCTATCTGAACTTCTATACCGATGAATAAAATACAAAATTTTTGTATACAGTCATTCATACAGGAATATCTAAGTGCGATGAATTCTATTTCAAAATGTATAAATAATTAAAATGTTAATGACACTGGATGTTCTTTGACAATTTTTCGCAATTTTATTACTTAAAATCGAGATTTTAAATACTCTTAATTATTATATAATAGATATGTGTATTGTATAGCATTTAATGTAGAAACGATATCAATGATAGTATCGTCCGACAAGTTCTATTTCCAACCGATGGTAAAGAAAATAGATACAACGACACAATAACTACGTTAAAGTGAATGGTGGCGCAATATATCAGGATATGATTTTTCTATTGCTATTAGAACTATTTAAATTAAATCTCTTCAATTATCTTTTCATCTATTTTACTTATTTAATCTTGTACTCATAAAAAATTTGTATTTTGAAATTACTTGTATTTTTTTGTTCAAAATTTGAACTTTAAAGAAGTTATTTTTGTAAAATTACAAACATTTTCCGAATGCACAAGACAATTTAAGATCTTAATTATCATTCATATAAAAAGTTTAGAAATCAATTTGTGTTTTATAAATACAATATTAACAAATAAATTGAAAATTTAAAGGACTCTTTTATATAATAATATCAATAAATTAAACAAGGGCGAAGTAAGAGACAATTTACAATTAAAAATCTAAATAACTCTGATAATTTATTCAAATATATTGCGGAGAATATCACATAATTTTTGGCGTTTCGTCCCAGTTTCCACTACTGGACTCATCAGTAAGGCATTGTAGTGGAAGTCTACCTTATACGCTTTGGTAAGTTATTAAATCGAGATTCTATATAAAGAGATATACGCGTGTCTCAGCACTTACGAGAATTTGCGAATATCGATAGACCTCTGATGGCGAGTCGACGTAGTGATATTCTTCGCAATATTTATCCAAAATAAGAAATATATGTGAAATGTCCCCCCCGCCCCAAATATTGCGTGCCGAAAGATTTTCGGTCTTGCAACGCAACTCTAATAATCTGAAATATCCCCCATCCTTCCACTACAATGTCTTACTGATGAGTCAGTCCAGTAGTGGAAACCGGGACAAAACGCCAAAAATTACGTGATATTCTCCGCAATATATTTGAATAAATTATCAGAATTATTTAGATTTTTAATTGTAAATTGACTCTTACTTCGCCCTTGTTTAACTTACTGATTATTACAATATTAACATATATGTAACACTATGAGTTTTTCTCTGCTGTTTACTTACTAAACAAATGATACTACGAATTTACTACTGTATTATGTAAAGATTATTAAAATTAAATAGAAAAGGAAAAAAGAGGATGAGTAAAAGTCATTGATTTTTGCCCCCAATCGGTAAGTGAAATGCATGTTTTTTTATACTTTTTGAGCAGCAGAATTATGGAGTACAATCAGTTTTCCACAAAAATATGAAGGGAACATATATAAAAATGTGAATAAAGTGAACAAATAAGCATGAGATTTTTACTATAAAAATAAGATATATAATAATCGTTTATAAGGTTTTAGTATCAAAAAACTCATTAAATACATGACATTTTATTGTAATATAGTTAAATTAAAGAAGAAAACAAGTACGAAAACTTGAAGGATGTGATTAGATATATCTACGCGTTTTGCATGTCATCTTTCCCGCCTTCTTAAACTCTAGGCTCTTAGAGCTTATTCGTGGACTTCTAAACCTTAGATTCATAAGCAGGGGTCGTAACTGTTATAACCAAAATAAAAAAAGTTGTAGTATAACAATTATATTTCTCTTAAAATGATTCTGGCTATGAATAGTCATTATAAATGATTAAAATTATTTTTGGTTGTGAATAACTATTGCTGATGTTGGAAATTGTTTTGGTTACAGAATAACTATTATTAATGACGGAAATTGTTTTTGGTTACGAATAACCATTATCGATGACCAGAATTTTATTTCGGTTACTCAAGGTCTCCAAACTATAATAGGGGGAAGTCGCGTATACCGTACTCCCTAACGTTTAAACAAAATTGTAACAAAAGTATTGAAGAGATCAGAATATTTCTGTACTTACATTAAACTTTGATTCATTGGCACTAAAACAAAATAATACTTTTGCGAAAATAAACATTAAATTATAATATCTTTAACGTCAATGTGACGGTAAATATGTGCATTAAACCTTGCATACACAGGCTACATTCCTTTATTCACTGCGTTCTATAACCTATAACTTGGAATTAAGTTTAGAAAAATGTTAAGAAATTGTGTATTCGTATCTGTAATACTATTGAAAGCCAGTAAAAATCAGTATATTAAAAAATCTTGTTCTTCGGAATTCTTATATTCTTCAGAGTTATAATAAGTCTTTTAATAATTATTCGCGTCCGATGTACCTAATCGTAGATTTTTAATCGGGCCAGGTAGTGACTGTTGACTGTACAAACCAGGGTTGGCAAAAGTCCACATTTTTTTAATAAAGTCCATGCCAGTGAAAAAACCGGCAAGAAACTGGTCTTTTCTATTAAAAATAATCAAATGAGTAGATTTTTTTATTTTTAATAGCTCGTGTAAAAATATACGGTAATCTCGCGCTTCAATATCAATTATGCTCTTAACGCGAAACACTACCGTGTTTTCTGATAGGGCGCGGACACGTTCCCTCGCACGATTCTGCAGGATCCCATGTTGCACGCGGAGATACGTTATTAGCCGACAATCAGTGGCAAGAATACTCAAAGAAATGGTTGTTCTTTTATCTAAAATTCTTTGCCCACTTATAAATTAGCCTTCGCGCGAGGAAATCAACGATAATATGTCTCTTTATTTTAAAAAGTTTCCAAAAGCTAGAGTCATTTTAGGTTGTACTGAGGTATCCGTAAACAGATGAAAGTGCCTAAAATGTCGACTTCAAACATATTCTCAGTATAAAAGTACGTTTACCATAAAATGGTTAACATGAGTATCTTCTGCAGGCCACATAACGTACGTAAGTCCAGGTTACAGTAGTAGAGCATCAGATAAATTTATATTTGAACAGTCTGGACTACTGAAGAAAATGATCGGCGGCACAGATGCAATTATGGTCGATAAAGGATTTCTCATTGAAGCTGAATGTGCTTCGTGTAACTATAGATTTAATCGGAACACCATTTTTGCGCTCTAAAAACAATTTTCACACGAAAAAACCGAATTAAGCAGAGGTATAGCGGCAGCAAGAGTGCACATTGAAAGAGCAAATTAAAGAACTAAAATATTTAGAATGATATGTAATCGGTTCCCTTGGGCTTAATAGGTTATGCAAATAACATTTTCATTATAATATGTGCAACGGTAAACTTGTCTAATTCGATTTTAGCAGCTGATAAATTTTAATTTTTTTACTATGTACAATTTGAAACTGCCTGTGATATATCTGGTAATATTTACATCACTAACTGTGATATAAAAATTATAATAATTATTTGTTACTGTAAATACCTTTAAAAGTGTTATTATGTTTTGCATGTGTTTTTAGATTTTAATTTTCTGTTTTAGTAGTTTTAAGTACCATGTAATGCAGTCAAATTATAATAATTTTCAGTTATGGCATTCATAAAACACAAAAAGATATATAAAGCCATAATGTTCCTTTGTGTTTGAAAAAAAACTTTATTAATTTGTTATGTGTTATTTTTTTCTTGCAAACGTTATGGACCATTTCTTTCATATAAACATCGCAGTCAGCAACATATCGCGAGCAAATTTTTCATCGAATGGAACTCGTATAATGTATACAGATTTATTGAATGATAAATATATAATAAAATCGCTTGTTTTCAAATTTAACAGTAACATATCTAATTGAATTTGGCCGTAGTATGGATGTTTTAATTTCAGAGTGTAATCTTTCTTTAAGAATTGAAAGAGCAAGAATCTAATGACTCAAGCACACTGGAAGCGGAAACGCTTGCCGCGCGGCAAAATGTGACGCGGTAGCCAATGAGCTTACAGCTCCTAACATGTTCATTGGCTACCGTGTTACATTTTGCCGCGCGGCAAGCGTTTCCGCGTCCAGTGAGCTGGAGCCATAAGCACTCTAATACAGTTTTTGTTTTTTCTAAATAAATACATTTTATTTTTATTTCGATCAAAGTTTCCGGTCCGTTATCCCCAATCACTATTCCATCCGGCGAATAACTAATCCAAGAACAATCTAGATAAACAACGAAACCACACTGCACCACTGTAACTTGTATCCGTTATACTTCCCTTGCAAGTATTCCATTTATTAATCCTTTACATGAACAATGCATGCTTTCTATATTAGGTTTTTCATTTTCAATTTTTATAATTCCTTCGATAATATAAAGAAATTAATTTAAAGTACTTGTTTGTAGAACAAGGTTCCTAATATGTTTTCCTTCAGCTGTGGTGTTTGTACAGCCAACAGTCACTACCTGGCCAAATTTTAAAACATTTTCACCCTCATTTATGTTGCGACTATGGATTCCTCCTTTTACATATTCGTATATTTGCGATAATCGCAAATACATGGCTTTAATAATTATCCAGTAAAACGTGCAAATGTATACAATGACAACGAAAACTGTAGTGTAGCTTAGCTGGCTGTAGCCTCCTTACAAGACTTTCGCTTCCAGCCACCAGGTGGCGTATTGGTATGTGAGCATCGCGAATAAGGCTGCGGTCCGATTCACGCTTATAAAAGTGCTTATATAGGTCTTTAGGCTCGAGGTTCGGCTCGCGTTTCGGCTCGATAGTCTAGACGCACCTTAATGCTTACGGTTCTCACAATATTAATGATCGGTCCGATTTGTTAGCGTGTTAACGACGATTTTGTTTCGAACCGTTTGTGGGTACAACCACGAGACAAAAAAATAGACAAAAGACTACATATTGAGGGCTTTGTAGAAAGAATTATCCCAGGATATACGGCAAAAGAATTGAAAATACATTTTCAGAACGTTGCATTTATTTCTATTGCTGTTATTATCCTAATAATAATATAACTCTTCTGTTGATTTTTTTTCTGTTGTTTTTTTTTTCATTTAATTATTTTTATAAGCGATTATACTACCTGGATACGTCTATTTCACATTCATATTTGTCCTCTTTCCCGCGCAAATAAAGTGAACGCTCACGTCGATCCATCTCCGGATCATGGTCACCGTGAGCATGCGAATTCAAAAATCCATGACATTACTTTGCTCACGTAAAACGTTCAGGAATGAAACAGACCGATCGTGAGCACGCTGATGGCGCTGTAATCATGAATCGGACCGCGGCCTAAATCGAGTGCACTTTTAAATATGTAATTCTTGATTCAAGAATGAATAGCTTTCAAATAATGTGATTGAGCTTGTTAGAACGATATAATGATTTCAGAAACAAGAATACGATTTTAAGAATATAATATAATATACTTCATAAAATTTATAATATTATTGATGCAAGTGAATATTTGTAATTAAAGAGAGCTTTTTATACTTAAAGAAAGCAAATAGCATTCAAGAATAAAAATATACGTGAATCAGGAATTTATTTTTTTCTGTACTTCTCAACTCTAGCACAACAAATGTCAAATATTTGGTGTTTTTTTGAGAGTTTAAATATTAAAAACGATCATTATACGTATCATTTTTATGGTAAAAATTGTATGCTTATTTACATCTCATTCACATTTTTACACGTGTTCCCTTGATGTTTATAGAAAACTGGTAATTTCACACGTGATACTACAGCTCATAAACTATAATACAAAAAAACATACATATTTCACTTCCCAGTTGAAGGCAAGAATCAACGATTTAATTTTCTCTTTATATTTCACACATAATATCCAAAAATATACTTTATTAATCTTTTAAATGTAAAAATTTTTAGGAATTTTGGGCAAACCTATTTTAGGGTTATTGATTATGTATCTTGAAACGATGTATAATACAAAAGTGAGTAAATTCATGAGTTGATCAATGAAATTATAAATATTGAAGTAAATTCGCGCACTTCTGTAAAGACTTGTATCCATGATGCTGGAAATCGGTTCAAGATCTCAGTTCTAACAAATCTGAGATAGAGAATAAATTAACAAATTAAATTTAAATAATTTAGTTTTATAACCAACGCGACTGGTCAGTTCTTTTTTTATTTTGAACCGATTTCTAACGTCGTAGACGCAAGGCTTAATTTTCTACCTCATTACATGTATAATCAATCCCCTGCTTAAAAATTACACGCACTTTAAATCAATAATCGGCAATACTATGCAATAGTGAATAATCTTTTTCATGATTTGTGACATATGCCAGATAATTCTGATATATTTCTCCTGTAGATTATAAATTTGTAATTAAAATGTACATCAAATTTTTTAGGAAAAACTGGATTAAAAAGTAAAAAAAAAGTATGTTTTTGGCCGTTTTTTAAAAATAGAAATTCGAGTATTAACTCGAATAAAACTCGAATCCTAAAACAAAGATAAATAAGTATAATACCATAAACACAATACAAAGAAATAATATATAGGAAAATGTCCTAAATCAGACCGTGTTCCAAATCGGATCTTTTTAATTTGAATAAATACGGTTAAGCAGATTTGCGTGCTATTTATAATGTAAAGTCTTTATAAGACACCGAATATGTGACACAGCAATTTGGCAGTACTTTGTCATAATGTTCATAGAATAGATGCAAATATGCATTTTCGGCTACCATGCGAAAATTAAAAAAAAAATCCTTGTGAATCATTATTTAAAAGATGTTAAAAATTTGAACGGTAATTGATTTAAGATAATTAAAGAGTGTAGAATTCAAAAATATCAAGAATTTTGTAATTACTTTTGCGGTTTATTATAAAATTTGTTCCAATAATTCGAAAGAACCCGTGTCCAAATAGGACCTATACAAAAAACACTAAAAAGACGAGTAAGCCAGCTAATTCATCGAAGAAAAAAGGTTCGCCACAACCTGGTTGTAGTACTGGTAATCGATCGATCTGGTCTAATCGACGTGATTCTTTAGACCAGATCGATCTGATCTGATCGATCTGGTCTAAGGAACACTAAATCAATAAAATATCATGTGGCATCAGACTAAGATTGATGGAATTTTTTATTGATTTTAATTTTAATAATATAAGCTATATTTTTATCTTTGAGTCTTCAATTGCTCGTTTTTACTCAATACTAACAAAAATTAATTAAAATATTTTAAAATTCTATCTAAAAGTCCATAAAAATAGGAGGTCCGATTTGGCACTCATAGGACCAGAAATTGCATTTTTACATTTTCCATTATTGTTCGACACAGGTAAGAGATACATCAAAATGGTCTCACGCAAAAATGAAGGAAATTAAACGATTTTTCGAACGGCACCATTGGTTTTATGATCGGACTTTATTTACGCCTTATAGAGAACAAAAAATGTCCGATTTAGACCACTCTCCTCTATACAATCAAAGCGGATCTTGAGAGTGCTTTAAATAATTTCATGTATACCACACACATTTGTAGTCTTTCAAATTACACATTAAATTAGTAACATGATAAAAAAACTTTTGTAGCAATTTTTTTAGGAGCACATACCAAGTATAACATGTGTACATGCCATTTACTATACTATCATCCTAAAAATAAGAATTATATTCAGACATGTATGTCCCAGAAATATATTAGAAAGACATTTAAATGTTATGTTACATTTAATTTCTTTGTCATGTTACTCATTTATCTTTATTTTTTGCTTAAGATTCGAGCTAATACCAAAATTTTTATAATGTCCTTTTTTTTTTTACAACAACTTCAGAAATAATCAAAAACATATTTTATCTCTTACTTTGTAACTCGGTTTTTCTTAATAATTTAATAAAAATTACGTTTTTAATTATGGATTTATAATCTAATATTGTTTTTGGCTAGACCGAGTTTCCACCAACTTGGATTGGATTAAGCTTTACTATTAATTGATGTTATATATGCTCTGCCAATAGAAGAGCGCAAAACATCATTAATCCAATCCAGGCTGGTGTAAACCCGGTTAGGTCGAAAATGTAACATGGGAAAAACTTAATAGAATCACATATGATGAAATAAAATCCTTCTTCTACTATGGTTATACAGTTCATTCAATCAACTGACTTCAACTTGACAATTGACTCTGATTTGACAGGACGATCAAGATGCAACATTACCAAGTGATCAAAGTGCTACATATGTGCATGTTGAGAAATGAAAAATAAATACACATGTTCTTGATAGTAAACATTAAAAATGATGGAATTAATGATAATAATAATGATGGGTAATTATATAGAATACCCTCACTCCGATCCGTGATAAAATTAGGCTCATTCAACGTGTTTTCATTCAAAACGAAAAAATCTGGCGGAAAAACGCGGTGATCGATCTTGTGAATCGAGTTATTAAGCGTTAAAGTTGACAACTATTCAAGGAAATCTGTCATTCCGACTCGATGTGAGCACTATAAGTATTATTATATTAAATTATTATATTAAATATAATTATATTAAATTTGTTACATTAAATGGATGTTTACGCTTTTTTTTTCACATAAACATGCGTTGTAATTAGGTGTGATTGCACACGTATGCACATTCACTGCTTTAAAAATATAAAAGTACTGCTTCAAAACCACAACAAATCAGTACTTCAAAAACACAAAAGTACTGTTTCAAAAATATAAATTTACTGCTTTAAATACACAAATTCTTTATATTAGCAGTGAAAGTAAAGTACATACATATAGCGCTCATATCGAATCGGAATGACAAATTTCCTGAATAGTCGTCAACTTTAATGCTTAATAACTCGGTTCACAAGGTTGATCGCCGCGTTTTTCCACCAGAATCTTTCGTTTTGAATGAAAACGCATCGAATGAGCCTAATTTTATCACAATCGGAGATCGTGGAGGTATTCTATATAATTGCCTTCTAAGTGAAACTGCCTCTAAAATATTAAGCACTACGCAAATGGAAGAAATATTAGGAATAGAAATAAATATTAAAATTTCAACCTATCAGATACCAGTTACACCGAAATATACGATTTCTGAAAAGTTGAAATCTTAATATTTATTCCTGTTCCTAATATTTGTTCTATTGTGCGCAGGCCAAAAATGTGTGACGAAATACTGGTCAATTAGATTAGGTTAGACTGAATGAGTTAGATTGACTTACATCGCTCACTGTCTTCCCGATTGGAATATGCTCATAACCCTGCACGCGCACGTGATCTCTCTGAAATAAATAAAAAAATGTAGACCATGCGTTCTGACTTTTGCTCAAGGATGTTTGTATACTTACCCAGGCCTGGTGCTCCGCTTCGAGAGCGGCGACATCGCTCTCGTCGTCGCACGGTTTATCAGCGTTGAACCACAGTGGATCAGTCGCTCGCGGCCGTAGATCGGGCCACAGAGGTCTGATAGACATTACAAACAATTTAAGGACGAAAGAATCGCGATAAAAAACCCCAAAACACCCTTCAACATATCATCACTTCGACTCCCATGTTTTGACTTGTTTAACATTTTTTACTTTTGTTGATGTGTTAGTTTCAAACATGGTGAAATCAGTGTTGTAAGGCGAGCCGCCTTTTATCGCATGCGCACTACAGTACTAGCAGAGAGAAACCCTCTGGTACTAGTAATTACCATGGTGTAAGGAAACAAGGTGTAGCACGAAGGGAGATGCGCAGTGGATTTTCGTTCAACCAATCGGTAAATTTTGCCAAAATGTACGAAAACTGCCGAAGCCGGCCGAACGGGAGACACGAAGGTACGGTTGTACACTACATACCACCGGAGATAAACAAAACGCATACAGGCTTATATATATTGTACGTGACTGCATGTATTTGCAAGGAAGGTCGTAAAATATATAATATTTTATCGAAAATAGCCCGATATAGATATCCAGAAATATATTTTGTCGTTTCCATCAACTGCGGCATTATTTTATCGGTGACGAACAGCAATTTTGACGTTAAAGGGTTAATTTAACGTTTCTTGTAGTTTTCAATAAATATGAAACATTTGACAAAAATTCATTTTTTATTTTTGGTTTCTTAATAACTGGTTATTATTTTAAACAATTAAATAAAAACATTATTCAAAACATATATTTTTTAATTAGAAATTTTTAATTTATTAATTTTATTTACTAATTGCTTAAAAATAACTTTACAGGAATTTCAACACTCGAACTTAGTATTTCAAATTTTTAAGCCACTTAAACCCAAGTATTTAATCCTTATAATTTAATCATTTACTGCATTCTTACGTTATATGGCTTATATGTGTATTTTTCATTTTTAATAAAAAGTACAAATCTTATTAATAAAATGTTGCCAATATTTTATTCGACATTATCACCATATATTTCTTTTATGTTAAATCATAAGTAATGCATTTAAGAAATATTGTTTTCATTCTATTCCTACAGCAAGCGAATCATAAAGCAATTACAATCATTTTTTATACATTATTTTCTGTATATATATAATCAGTTTAATATTTACGCTTTCTCGCATTTTCAAATCAACCGCGTTTCAACCACATTTTGGCAAAATTCTCTCATTGGTTAGCCCCGTACCACCTGACCAGCCTCATGCGCCGCGCTACACCTTGTTTCCTTACACCATGGTAATTACTAGAGAAATTCAGTAACGTAACGTCGTGAAGGATGAAAAGCGCATATATGTAATACTACTATATGGCTAGATGAGAGAGAAGTCCATGTCCCAGAACCACGGTGCGGGAATATACTTCTCTCTCTTTCTCAGCGTACTTTGAACGTTGTGCGCATGCGTCGGATTCATCCCCTCCATCAATAATAAATAGAAGGATAAATATACATATATGTGTAAGGAAGAAGGAAAAAGTGATTGATTCCGCTTCAGAGTATAACCTTGTTACAGTTAACAGAGTCAGTTCAGTCGGAATAAATAAATTAATCCTAATTTTATGAAATAAACTTTTTCAAAATTGCCGTTATGTATATAAGAATACAGTGCAATCCCTTACAGAAATTTCATGATAATCAGTGCAAACTAATACCTATTTCATACCTATGCAAACTAATGTTTTCAGTCGCATTAGGCGCATTAGGCTTTTTGCCACATAAATAACATATCTTGACCATTTTTGCCTGTGTAAAACAGCACACATCTAATAAGCATAACGAGCATAACCTGTTCGCGTCATCTCACTGATCGCACTCTATTTTCCTATTGGCGGATGCAATCAATCCAACGCATGCGCACAACACTCAAAGTACTCTTAGAAAGAGAGGGAAATATATATTCCCGCACCGTGGTTCTGGGACCGCTTCCTCTCACTCCCTCTTATAGGCACTAGCCATATAGTAGTATTACATATATGGAAAAGCGTGAGCCCACTCAACGACATATATACCTAGACCGAGCTCGATATCACCACTGACAAGATAGCAGACAAACTGAATATTTTTGATTTATTTATGTGTATATAATTTAGGAATCGTTTGGGGAAATTTGGGAAAAGCATTTAAACATTTGGGTAATAGTATTTTTCTTGTTATTAACAAATCTTCTCATGAGACAAGTTGGCGGACAGCGATTTTATTTAATGAATTTTATGAATGGAATCGATCGGAAATAATTTGGGGAAAACGTCTTCATTATTATTATCATTTAAGAAAAGTCGCTATTTTGTAATTCAATAGATTTACACATTGCGAAAACGAACAAAGCTCGAGTGTAGTGGGTGTAGTAAGTGTAGTACAAAAAGGTGTAGTAAACCGAAAATCGTCAAAAATTAACTTTACAATTAGACCCGATCTTCAAGTAGGGTGTATTCCATTTCACGCATGATGCATCATTTATCATTAGGTGCATCCAGAAGTATGACCGCTCACTAAGCGCTCAATGAGCTTTTTTATCTAATTGGCATATTCCATTAGATCTAAAAATATAAACCAAACAGGTACAAGAGCTTACTGAGCGCTCAATGAGCGGTCGTGCTTCTGGACGCACCCATTATTGTTTTGGACCTTCTACAATAAGGGCCTCTTTCACCAACGTCTATTAACTTAATCGACGATTAGTCCATTGGAATTGACCAATCGCATTTATCATTTAGTTTTAACGACAGACGCGATTGGTCAATTCCAATTTAAGTTAATCGGCGTTGGTGAAAGAGGCCCTAAGCTATAAGTCATAAATCGGAAGTAAGAAACTAAAAATTGACGACTGTGATTGGTCCATTTCTAGCTTATGACTTACGATTTGTGACTTACGGCTTATTATAGATACCCGTTTTAAGTGAATGTTAAGTACAATTTAAGAAATTGATTTTTGAATAATACCTATGTGTGACAGCCAGTCGTATTGTATGTACATACAAATAATTTTGTTAAACTGGCGATGCAATCCCGTTTCACGCATGATGTGCATAATGCATCATTTATCCTTACTTAAGGCTGGGTTTTCATGCGCTCGACGCTCATTTTCAGCGTCAAAACAGATCACGTGATAAAAATTAATGAATAGCAAGCGTCAACGTAATGAAAAGCCAGCCTAATGCATAATGCATAGTGCGTAAGAGAATCAACCAATCAGAGTTCTTCTTTTCCTCCCACTTCACGGAAGAGAAGCATTTTGATTGGTTGATTCTCTTTTACGTCATGCATGATGCATAATGCATGATGCGTAAGAGAATCAACAAATCTTAATAGGCCTGTTCTTTTTACCGAACTGGTACGCAGAGTGCAATAAGTTGAAGTGAAACAGATATACGTTTGTTTCATTTCAACTTATTGCACTGTATGTACCAGTTCAGACAGTGCAGGCAAAAAGAACAGGCCTAATCCTTCTTTTCCTCCCACTTCACTGAAGAGAAGCATTTTGATTGGTTGATTCTCTTATGCGTCATGCATTACGCGTCATGCAAAAGTGTGTGCTGCGGCCTTTGTGGTGGCGACGCGATCGTCGCGATCGTGGATTGTGGCGTGGCAGATGGTGGCAAACTTCATCACGGTGTGAAAGTCGTACAGTTCACTAATGGACTCGCAAGTGACTTGTTCAATTACGTTTGGAACGACCGAAGGTGAAAGAATAAGATAGATAAGTGAGATAAGTCGTCTTTCCAAGAATCTTTCTCATTACGCCATCATCGTTCAACTTGATTCGTCTGGTGGCTATCACATAGTGTCACATAACCTTTGGAAAGGTAAGTGACTCCAAAAATCCAGATGTATCGATTGCAAAACTTCAATAATTTTATTCCACATTTTCTTTCGTTCAGAGTAAGAGAAACAATTAGCTGACTCTTTTCTCTTCGCAATTCATAATAAAGCGCAATTTTTTTCTCACTGCACGAGATCATATTTGCATATTCTCAAACAAAATTTTCACCGTTTATCTCAGTTTATTTCAGTTCATTTCGACAAAAAAACGAAAATAAACGAAAAGCTGAATAAGTCATAAACATTTGAAGTGGATACAAATATTTATCAGAGATGATTACAAAAGACGATTTGTTTCGTCAGAAATTTTAAAAAAATTTTCTGTCCGAGCACCATTTATCTCCTTGAGCGACAATTTCACTGCTAATCGATTTGCACGGGAGAGTAACGAACCACACTAGTTATTTCCACTGGGTTGCATTCTTATCTCCCCTGATTGACGCGTTTCTAACACAGCGTCTCTACCTTTCTCTCAGCAGAATAGAGATGCTGAACAAAGTTTTTGAATAACTTTTCAATTCTAATATCCACAATGGTTATCAAAGAGATGTCAGTGAAAGTCTTCTTCATTTTCTTTTTGAATAACTTTAGTGCTAGACTGGTCCTAAACTTCCTAGTATCTGGAAGTTTACTCGAACAGTAGATCTATTCTCTTTATCTGAACTTGTATGATTTATTTTTCTCTTGTTTTTTTTTCACGTTGAAAAAAAAGGAAAAGCTAAACTGTGCAAGAAGTTCAGCCAAAAAGAACCAATCTTATATCTGGTTAGTTTCGTCTGAGATTTTTGTACCCATTCGGCGATTCTTTCGATACGATTAAACCAATGAAAATCTTTTGTATCTTTAAATTACGATTTGTGTCTACCTAGAGCATCTCCTATTAACCTATGATTTTAACTGAACATTCTCTTTATCCACAACACGTAGCTGTTAGAGACGCAGTTAGAAAGGCGTAATCCGCGTAATTTCGCCACAAATTACTCAATCACAGCGGTCGGCCGTGAAACAAGTTTTCTCAATGCGGATATATCATTATTATCATCGTCATATTCCAGTCGAGTCTTTTCCCATTGTTGCATTTTTTTTGTACCGCGACGTAAATTCACCTCGAACGATGTAACATATGTTACGGTATCAGAGACTGCTCCAACTGATAAAGAAGTGACGGGCGTTTACTCTGATTTTTTAATATTACCGTAAATTTCTTGCCATTTCGTTTGCGTTTTACATTTCACTTAATGTCCACATTTCTACCAATGGTGATTAACTTTAATTTCGGTTTAACTTACTTTTCACCTTTTTGTAATAATTAAAAAAAGATGAAGAACGAATTGAATCGAGATTAAAATTAATCTATATTGATAGAAATAGACATAAATCGTGCACGAACGAAGGAGATAATTCGAAGTATTTCCTTTCGCTCGACGGTGAAAGCGGATACCTGTCGCCGGATCGGGCGTAAGAATAATTGCGTATGCAACGCGAACCCGCAACGGATATTTTTTATTTACCACCTCTGATTCCACACCCCACGAGCGACCGCTAATTGATCGTGATTCACCGTCATTGATCCAATTGTAGCCAATATATCGCCAACCCTCATCTGAGAATTTACATTGTCTGACGATAGCATATTATTATCATGCTAAGGATCAATTTGAACACGTATTTGCGTGTTTTATTCAAATATACGCACATGTATTGCATCATCTTTTAAGTCATCTGTTTTGTTCTTGCGAAATGCGTTATACGAAAGCGGAAAAAGTCGATATGATTTTCATCTATGGTGATCTATATATTTCGCCAGACACGCACTTCGATCGATAGATAAATTCAAACTGATCAGTAAATATTGAACGTTTAGCAGTATACCAACAAGCAGAGAAGACACGAAATTATTTGAAGAGTGCCTTGAAACAATTTATTTTTCATTCAATTATTTTCCATTATTAACCTTGCGTAACCTTGAATAACCTTTAATTATAGGTCAATGTATTCGTCTTAAGGCTCCTGAGTAATCGCGACAGCCATGTTGGAATTGTGGCGTTATAGGCGAGAAATGCACATTAATTTTTGTTGCGTGCCATTTGTAAATAAGGACAATTTGGATAAATGTAAAGCGGCGTCTACAATGAGATCTTAAGACCTAAGGTTTAAGCTTTAAGCCGTAATTTGTGACGTCATTTCCGTCCGTAAGGCTTTCCCGCCAGTACTTAAGCTATAACTTTAATCCTTAAACGAATTGGCGAAATTTCATTTCTTAGTGCTAAAATCTTACGGTTTAAAGCCGAGTGGGATACGATAACCTGTAAAAACTGTTAGAAAACGATAATCTGTAAATATATGTTGACGGCGACTGACAGGCTTGCACGAGTTGCATACGATAATCACAGAAGTTTGAAAATCCAAGTAGATAAAGGGTGGAAATTTAACCTCTATGTTTCATTTTTTTGAAACATGAGGTGTCAACTTCACAAAAGTTAAAATTTCACATTGTCGATAGAGGGTGAAGAATATCACATTTTTCATACAGTTTGCTTTATCTTCTTTTTGAAACAAGAATTTATTATCAGATCTCAAATTTCTATCATTAAAAATAAGTCCTTTAACAAAATTGCTGAAAATGCAAGTTTTTTAAAACATGTGCTTTCAGTTAGTAATTTAGAAACACGCGTTATCTTTTATAGAACTGTTATTATTTTATTTTATGTAGTTTGTTTGGTTTTTATATATTATTTTAAAAATGGGATTGCAAAACCTTAAATTTTATATTTAGATAGAGTTAAGGCGTATGCCATAAAAGTATTGTATCTGACGATTGCAAAATCACATATGTTGAAAATTGAGTTCTCAGTAGAATGGATACCATTAAAGGAACATGCGCTGAATTGTTCACTGTAATGAGACCTGATATAGCTTTACATGCATGTCTGCACGATACCATGCGCGATTTAATGTAATGAAACTTCTCAGCAATAGAATTCTTGTACATATAGTATAGTATATGTACAATATGTCGAGTTCTCCGCACTTACTTTCACCCATAAAATCTTTGACTAATTTATACTTCCTGTAAAGGTATTCAATGTTTTTTTATGTAATAAACATTTAAAGATAAAGTGCTTTTCGCCAATAAAATTTTAGGGACATAAACATTTACTGCATTATAGAAATATTCTTTATTTAATTTCTAATACACATTAGCTGCGTTCAGCAGAGAAAGCAGCTTTGCAACTGTTGTAAAATTCTTTAATATGATTGGTCTTGCCTCTACTTCCTTATTAAAGCTAAATGTATAAGCCAATCATATTCAAGAATGTTACAACAATTACAAAGCTGCTTTTTTTTGCTAAACGCAGCCATTATCTTTATTAATTTTAAATTAGTTTTAACTCTGAATTTTATTTATAAAGATATTTAATGTCAATTTTTTTAACAAGTATTTAAAAACTCCACTTATATTATTTGGTGCACAAATAAGTTTTAAAGCGTTTTTAATGAAATTTAATATGTATTTATTTTAAAACGAAAAAACACTTAATTATCAAAATAATCCCCATTATTATCTATGACTTTTAGCCATCTTTCAGGCAGCTTGCGAATTCCAGAAGCGAAGAAGGTTTCTTTCCTTCCTTCAGAATCTTTCCCATCTGCCGTAAACGAATTAAAATATATTGAGTTACTTCAAGTTGCTGTGCAAGTTCTTTTTTTGTGTTTGATATGAGTTTTGATCGAGTAATGCTTGCAATTGATTTTCTGTAATCTTTTGAGGAGCATCACTACATTCTCTATCACTAATATTAAAATCATCTTCTTTAAATCAACTAAACCAAAACTCACACGTACTTTTGGATGTAACACTGTCTCCAAGAACAGAACAAATTGATTCATATGCTTTAGCGGCGCTTTTTTCTTGATGAAATTTGTATCGAATGTAGTGCCGAATAAATTGCTTGTTGCTCGCCATTTTAAAACCATTTAATTTTAAAGTTAAGTTTCTAATTGTGTGAAGTCAATTGTTTTTTTTAATAGTACACATTAAGCGCCAACACATCAAAAAAGCGCGAAAATATTTAAATTCTAAGTTTAAATTATACGTTACACAAAAAACGCTTTAAAACTTATTACACCAATAATAAAAAAAATATACAGGGATTAATCTATTAAAAAATTTGAGTTTATTATAATGAAATTCTATCGTAACGCGATGTAACACCTCCGGTACTTTCATGTTACTTTCACATTTGGCTCTCTCATGAGAATTTTATTCATTTAATAACTTCAACGTCACGATCTCACCGCGCGAATAATTTGCTCTAACTGATCGATAATCAAAATTCTTACTTTATTTCTGGCGATATTATAACGCCCATTTTCCTTCAGGATTTTCTGGTATTTCAATATAAGAATTCCTGCAGTACAACAGACTCTTGATCGTTTATTGAGACCATTATAAATCATCTGTATGAAGCACATTATTCTCGTACAAGACTTTATCTCAATACATTAATTGATTAATTGATAAAGTCAAAGGATAATGCATAAAACTAAAAAATTTGGTTTTCGAGATTTTAGTTTCAATTTTTTTTTTCTGTACATAAATAGATTTTATTGGGTAGAAGAGGTTAGAGTAGAAGTTGAGCAGAAGTCGAGTAGTCATATATAGTAATAGGGATTTTCCTTTTTTTCATTTATCTTTGAACAATTTTGGTGAAAACGTCAGAGGAGCTATATAATTACTTACCACGAGCTTCCAATTTTTAATATTAAATATCATAATTATCCTCTAATTGTAAGTTATATTTTAAAATCTATTAAAATAATATACATTTGAAATTAATTGAAAAATAGAGAATTTTATTACTTGTTTTTACTTGTAATGTTTACATTCTTGAACAATTTTATTTCTTATTATGTAATTTGAAAACGCTTTTGTTTTCTCGATATTTTTATTAAAATGTTTAAGGTGATGCTGGATCCGCCT